TTCTTGTGTAGCCATTTTAACACTGAAGATGGAAGAAAATACACGACATTTTTGGCACAGTATGCTTTATTATTTCAAGAAAGGTAAAAATGCAACCAAAAGGCAAGAGGGAGATTTGGGCGGTGCGTGGAGATGGCGCCGTTGGCTGATGGACCAGGGTGGTTTGCAAAGTTTGGTGCTGGAGACTTCTCCCTGGACCACGGATGCAGAAGAGTTGAAGTTGGCAGCGATGAAATCCAGACACGAACTGAGAACGATCAATGTTATATATACCACCTGGGCGACAGCCCTCATACTCAAAACACCCACATCAGTAATCGGTGAAAATGAAAAATGTGTTTTATTCTATGGGAAAAAAAACTGCATGGACTTTCTGGCCAACCTAATGACAGTCCCGTGGAGAAGAGTCGTGGGGGCTGAGCCCTGGGCCCCACTAAAGACACGTCCACACCCGATGCCTGCAACGTGAAACGTGCCCGGGGAACAGGGTCTGCAGATCTAATTGAATTTAGAAGGATCTCGAGATGAGATCATCCTGGGTGATCCAGGTGAGTCCTAACTCCAGCAACCAGTGTCCTTATAAGAAATGGAGGAGAGATACGTTTGAAGATGGAGGCGGAGACTGGAGACACAGCTCCAAGCCACTGACCCCCGGAGCCCCCGAAGCTGGAAGCCATGGGGAGCGTTCTCTTCTAGAGGCTTTGGGGGGAGTGTAACTCTGCAGACACCTTGACTTTGGGTCTCTGGCCCCCAGACCTGTGAGAGAAACTTGTTTGTGGTGTCGCGAGTCGGTGGCCATGGTCACTTGTTACGGCAGCCACAGGGGGAGCCTTGGGCTTTGCAGTCAGAGGCCTGGGGTTCAAATCCTGACTCCCACTTAGGGATTTGTGATGTCGGACAAATCACTGAGGCCTTTCATGCCTCGGTTTCCTCATCTGGAAAATGGGGATAAGCATACTGACTATCCTAGGCTTTATGTGAAAAATTTTTATTTTTATTTAAAAAAATATTTTATTTATTTATTTTCAGAGAGAGGTGAAGGGAAGGAGAGAGGGAAAGAAACATCAGTGTGTGGTTGCCTCTCGTGTGTCCCCCACTGGGAACTGTCCTGCAACCCAGGCATGTGCCCTGACTGGGAATTGAACCGCGATCCTCTGGTTCACAGGCCCGCGCTCAATCCACTGAGCTACACCAGCCAGGGCTTTATGTGAAAAATTGAGTTGATACATACATCTGATGGGAACAAGGACTGATACCTCATAAGTGTCCAAAACCTGTTAGGTTTTATTAATATTATTTGCCTGGCTAACATTTTTTTATGTCAATTGCTCTTCCATCCCTTGTCTCTCTCTCTCTCTTTTAAAGATCTTATTTATTTTTACAAAGAGGGGAAGAAGGGAGGGACAGAACCATTCATGTGTGATTGCGTCTTACAAGCCCCCAACTGGGGACCCAGCCTGCAACCCTGGCGTGTGCCCTGACTGGGAATCGAACCTGTGACCCTTTAGTTCACAGGCCGGCACTCAACCCCCAGAGCCACAGCCTGTATATCTCTTGAATCCCCACTTTCTTCTCCTTCCTGTCAGCTCCTGCAAATCTGACCTCAGTCTCTCCCTGGCTCAAACCACGCCCCTGGCCCTCTAGTGCCCTTGGAACCTTGGGACAAGCTTCCAGCTTATTGACTTGCCCTGTAAGGCGCTGTGTGGCAGTGGCCCCTGACCTTCTATGACTGAATTACTTAGTAGATGGGTGGATGGATGGATGGATGGATGGATGGATGGATGGATGGACGGACGGACAGGAAAAATAGCGCATCCCCTTGCTCCTCAGCCTGCTTCTGGGACTCTCCCAACCTCATTTCTCAGAGCCTGACTCCTCCCCAGTCCCCTCTGCTCCTCCTAATCTGACTTTTCTGCCCCTCTCCTTTAAAACCCCACCAACCAGCACTTCCTGGGCTCCCCCAGAGCTGGGCGGGGCGGCTGTCTGCTGACCCCTGGTGGCCGCATAAGAGTAACACGGCGTTCTCGGCCTTCGGGCAGCGAGCCTGGGGCTTCTGAGCGCCCAAGGAGCTAGGTAATGGGCCGCAGCTTGGGGAACACAGCTCCCGCCCCCGCGGGTGTCACAGGAAGACGGTAAGTAGACACATCACTGTGTAAACCCTGGAGTCATCCCACCTCCTCTCTCTCCCAGCCACGTGCAATCTTGAGCAAAGTCTGTCTCCTTGACCTTCAGGTATCCAAACTCCTACCTCCTGTCTTCACTTGCACTGTGCAGGCGCTGGTCTCACCCACCATCCCTCCCTTCCCCAACCCAGGACCCCGGCTCAGCCTCACTGACCTCTCCTGCCTCACGCTTCAGCAAGGCTCAGCACTGTCGCGGTTCACTTTTAGCTACAATTTCGACATGCTTTTGAATCTTGATTTTTAAAGATGCTGCATTGGAGTATTATCTCGATCACCTAGTTGTTTTGTATCCCCTTCAGTTTTGTAGCAGAGCGGGGTGCCTCCCCTCACCCTGGGCTCCGTTCCGCTGCAATGCCCCCTCCCAAGGGGCCTCCCTGACCAGTCTGCATGGCACCCTTGCCCCCTCAAAGGCACACCCTCCCTAACTTGTCTCTGCCTGACATGGTTACTGTCTTTTCCACTGGGTGTTAGCTCCTGGCTGTGTCCCCAGGGGCCTGGCCCAGAGAAGTCCTTGGGAAACAAGTGTTAAGTGGGCTAATACAATCAGGAGTAACACTCTGAGAAAATGCTCTTGAAGAGAAGTTTCTTCTTTGAAAGCAAAGGAGTCCGTGGTGGTCTTGGGTCGGGCAGGGCTTCCCTGAGGAAGAGTCTGTGGAGCTGAAATCTAAGGGTTAAGGAGGGAGCCAGAGAGGAGGGTGGACAGAGAGCAGCATGTGCAAAAGGCCTGGGGTCAGGGGCCCTTGGGGCGTCAGGTCAGTCTCCCTGGAGGGTCAGCAGGGGGCCCCCTCACGACCTGCTAGAGTTTGGGTTTTCTTTTGAGGACTCAGGGGGCCCTGGAAGGTGACAAGGGAGAGGTGACACGGCCAGTTGTTTGGAGAAGCTTCCTCCGCTGCCCAAGGAGGTAAGGGAGGGGGGAGACTCAGGCAGGATCGGGGCAGGGAAAGAGGAGGGAAATGGTGAAGGCTCTGGCTAGCGGGTGACCCACCGGAGGGACCAGAGGGAGTGTCACCAGTGGGAAGGCATGAGGGGAGGGCTGGGCTGGAGTCATGTGGGAGAGGTCGGCTTGCAGATGAAGACTCGAGTCAAGGTTAAGTTTGAGAGCACTGTGATCTACAAACTAGGGACCCGCGAGCTTCAGGGCGCTGTGCTGGGCATCCTGGGGGGGGTCACACGGGGGAGCCACAGGTGCTGCCCCCCACGCCCCAAATTCTTGACTTGGGTGGCTGGTGGCTGAGAGGTGCAAGTATGCAAACCAAGAACTAGAGGAAGAGACAGGTTTATGTCTGCACACATAATGAGTGCCAGCTGTGTATTGTGGCAATTTTTGGGGGGGAAAAAACCCCAAAACAAACTGAATCAATGTGTGAAAGGGCCAGGGAAGAACACCCAGGAAAAGACAGAAAAAGACAAGCTTCGGAGCCCATGGGCGGAGCAGTCGGAGAAGGAGGCCGTCCTGACTGACGCTGGGGGTCAGGCGGCGGGGTGGAGGAGGGCGGGCTGCATTCAGGGCGAGGGCACCCGCCTGCTGACGTGTGTGGGGTCTGAGCCCTGAGGGAGTGTCGCGATCAGCAAGCCTCGTCTCCCACAGCACAGGAGGGGAGACCTGTCCGGTAAGGTTTTCCTTCTGGAAGAACCGTGGGGCGTGACAATGGGCTGGAAGGGACACGGGTGCGGGCGAGGAGGCCACGTGGGCAGGCGTGTCCATCAGAGTCCAGGTGAGCTGGAATGCGGGCCTGCGCCAGAATGGGGGCGGCGGGCGCAGGGAACCTGGAGGAAGGAGGGGTGAGGAGGGAGTGGGGACGGAGCAGACTGGGCCTGGTGACTGAGGCTAACTGTCCTCTCCTGTCTCCGGGGCCTGCTGGGTCCCTGTGGCCACAGCAGTCTGTGCGTGGGGCTCTGAATAATCACCTGGAAGAAACCATAGAGTAACTGGCAGGTTTGGGGAAGCAGACCACTCCGCTGGAGAGGGCGGCAGGCAAGTGCTGGGGTGGAGGGGAGCGGGCCACATACGCAGGCAGGAGCCCTCGGAGCAGCCCCTGGTGGAGGTAGGCCGGTCCGAGGCTCCCCGAGGGCCCACTGTGCTGGAGAAAGCTTCCTCCATCCCTGTGGCCAGAGAACGGGCCACGCCTGCTGGATGGCCCTTGAGCACTGCCTCTGGGGATGGAGCCAGCGTCCCCAGGGGCCTGGGGAGGGGGCAGGCCTGCGGGCCGCCCGCTAGGGTGGGCCCCGGGCCCCAACAGGAGGGGCCGCCTTCACTTCTCTCAGGTTTGGTTTTTTTACAAGACTGATTTATTAACTATGATACATATCACATAAGGCCTTTTCAGTTTTTTACACCATTCCCATTGAGACAAGTACAATACTTTGTAGCAAATACATGATTTAAAAAAACCAAACCAAACGCAAACACCTCAGAGAGATGCCTCAGCCTCAGCTGCCGGCTGACCATGCACTAGTCAGGTTGGAGCCTCAAAATACGTGTCCAAAAAGGGGAAAAAAGAAAAGAAAGGAAAAAAAAAAGAGAGAAAAGAGTCTGAAAATTAAGCAAACATTCCTAACACCAACTAGAGGACGTCTTGGTCGAAGTCCCTAAAATACAAAGAAATAACTGTCATACGGTCTTTACATACAGGTCTCCACTTTGCTGCGAAACAGAATTTTGGGCACACGGCCAGACTACTAACACATTTCAATACCATTCATGTCTTTGTTCTTCTCGGGAAACTCAAAGTATTTGTTAATCCAACATATATAAAGTTCATTTAACATGTGAAAATACAAGTACCAGAAAAATAAGCTGGCAGCAGCACTATTCCAAATTTTTGAACAAGTTTTATTCCCATACGATTCAGAGACATTTCTTGTTTTTCAAATGTACACAGGGAACATGATTCTCTTTAATGCAAACAATAACTTACGTGCCTGTCTGGACTACATCGAGTGTAGCGTTGCTGCTGCTGGAGCTGGGGCGGCGGGGCGGGGGGCCGGCGCCCCGGCCTCGGGAGGAGGGGTTCTCGGGCCGGGAAGGTGGCTTCCAGAAGAGGAAAGTCCTTCCAGGCTAAGACAGCGACGCAGGCACAGCCCAGGGGAGGCCCAGGACCTTGGGAGATGAGTAGCCTTTCCCTTCACCCAGCCCCTCCCTGGTGCCACCCCCAGCACAGCCCTAGACGTGACTTAGGTTTCTGGCATACATGACTCAGACTGTCCTTCCACCTAACAGAAAGAAGTGGCTTGAACCTGCCAAGCAATAGGGGGGCAGCTGTCCCCGGGAAGGTGAGCCCAGGAGATAGGTCAAAGGCTTTGCTCGTGTGCCCGCTGCACACAAGGATCGTGGCGCCGGTGCTGCCCGTGCTTTCTCAAGCAGACCCTCCCACAGTGGTGTGTTCTCACAGGCGGACGGGCGGGGGCACGGATGGAGAGGACTTCAGATTACAAGTGCTGCGGGCGGTTTTCAAGTTTCAGGGCTGAGGCCTGGGGAAGGTCTCCCTCCAGCCCCTGCTTTTCCAACCCCCCCCCCCACCGGAGCTGAAACACAAGGAGAGGGGAAGGTGCACTCTCCTGGGCCCCCTGACTCCCTGCAACACAGAAACACACTCTGCTGCAACCACCTCCTGGGAGTTTGCTTCCTGTCCTCAGCTGGAAAACCTAGGTGGCAGTGGGGTGCGGAGCACCCAAAAACAGCAGTGCACACTTCACTCGGCACCCCTCAGCATGTCACGTGATGGGAGGACTGACTCAACGAGATGCTGACACCTGATGCACAACGCAGGTGAGAATTCAAGGCAGATCCCCAAGCCAGGCTCCTGACCATGCGCCACCTAGCCCCCCAGACCCAGCCTCCTGCTCAGGAACAGTGCTGCCAGCCCCTCGAATGCCGCCCACACTCCCAGGGACTCCAAAGCACACTGGCTGGGGGCTGGGAGGAGCTGCAGGGCACAGCTTTGCATCAGGTCATGGGGCAGCATGGCCCACACGCTGGCTGACCCCTTTGGCCAAGGCGAGTTCCTGCCAGCCACTCCCTCAGTTCTGAGTGCTGTGGGTTACAGTCCGTTTAGAGCAGAGTGTCCCAACACACACCCTGCCTCTCCCTTGTGCGTCCCCAAACCCACTTGGTCCGAATGCAGACCTCTGACTGGAAGCTTAAGCCCGGGCCTGCTGTGGCTGCTAGTGGCAGTGCTAACTCAGAACCAATTAGTGCCCTCTAGCCAGAGTCCGCCTGGAAAAGCAGAAAGGAGAAGCTAAAAGGTTAGCAAACAGAGACAAAGGAGCCCCCTGGAGCTTTCTGCTCACTGCAGTTCTGATGAGGCACCAGCCCCCCTCCCCACCTGCACTCCTACAAAGGCCTGGCTGGACACGGGCATGTGTGTGAAGGGGCCCTGCAGCTGCTCCGGATGGCTGCCAGGGGGCGCTGCAGGGCCAGAGGCTATCTCTGCAGGGGTGAGGGCAAGGGGCACAGCTGCTGCCCACTGGCGCCCCCAACCATCTGTGCGTCTGTGCAGCCTCAGGGATGGGGTGGCAGGCGCACTGGGGGCTTGTGAGCTCCTGGTGCAGAGCCGAGGCTGCAGGTGGTGCAGTGGGGGAGGGGTGCCAGCACAAAGGAGGAGGCAGTGCACAATGGGCCACTGGAGGGAGCCAAGCCACTCTTGTTAGTTCACACCAGAGACAGGAGCTCCAGGCCACCCCCATGGCTTCCCTTTAACCGCACCCCTGAAGGGCTGACTGGGAGGAAGTGAACATGACCTAGAAAAAGGGAGAAATTCATTCCATGCAGCCACTTCAGTACTTGCCTGGGGGCACTGCCGACCTGGGCCAAAACCAAACACACACTGACTGCCTCCTGGCCTATCCCGAGCTAAAGCACCCTCCACCAAAAACACGTTCCTCATCCGTTTACATAAAGCATCCATGGCCTTGGGTTTGCTTTTTGACTTGTGTTCCTATCGAGGGGCTAAAACTTGCAGGGGCGATGTAGTTTTTCCGAGCACCTTACTGTGCCACACAAGAACTAAACACAGTGCAGGTCCAGCTTATCCAGAGGAAGGTCAGTGAGCAGAGGAAGCGGCTGCGGACCGTGCTGAGGCACCTCTTAGCTTTGTCAGCCCCCAGCAGAGGTGATCTAGGGCATCAGCCATACCACAGGCGCTGCTTAAAGTGCAAAGAGACCCGGAGGACTGGGTGGCACGCGGGGCCCTCTACCGCACACCCCGGGCACCTTAGTGTTAGGCTTCTCCACTGCGGAGGCCGCGGCCCAGCCACCAGAAGCAGGGGTACAGGCATGTGTCTGTAGCAGCCTTGGTGAGGTTGCTGCGTTTCTGGGGCAGCGGTGGGGCAGGAGACGGGTTCTCCCACGGGCCAGTGACCAGGAAGCTGAGGGGAAGGGGAAGGCCATTGCTCAGGAAGAGCTGGGGAAGGTGGTGCGGTGTGGCAGGCAGGCACAGTGCTTTCCTCGTGACTCTGACGGCCTCTGTGCCTGCGGCTCCCCGGGCCTGCTGGCCCTGGGAGCGTGAAGGGTGCCCACCAGAAGGGTGGCAGACCACCAGAGCACACTCACTTCCCAGGAACGGTACGGCGTGGCACTCGACAGCCCCAGACGGAGATGATCCCACTGCGACACCAAGCACACCAGTAACCTGCACCCTCGGCTGTTTCCACCCCTCACAGGTCACCCCCCACACGCACGCACACATGCACGCACACAAATACACACACGAAGTAGTGTTTCCACAGCGCTGTAGTGTGTTCAAAGGCAGACCAAGGTCTAGGCTGGTCTGCGGGTCTCCCTAGCTCTGCCCACCAAGGACGCAAACCATCTTCCCGGGGAGAGAGGGGTCTGGGGACAGAAGGTAAGTGGGACCCCAGCAGGCTCTCGGGCACCCGCCCGGGGCCTCCGTGCTCTGCTGTCACAGGAGAAGGGCCACACGCCACCTGTGTGCCTCAGGTGGGAGGGGGGCCGAAATCTTGAGGTCTGCACTTTTCTTCCTTTTTCTTTTTAAAAATGATTAGATGGGTTCTTCCATTTTCCTTGCAGTGCTCCTCTGCTGCCGAGGGACACGTCCCGAAGCCTGTGCAGGGAAGGGCTCCAGCTGGAGGGGAAGCCGCACTCCGGCTTGGTCCAGGCACGAGGCTGCCTCCCTCTGTCCTGACTGGCCGGGCAGAAGCCCTCAGCACCGCACCTTGGGGCGGCAGAGCCCTCTCGTTCCCGAGGAGGCTGCTAGACAGGCTGCACCCCCAACCGGGAGTGGGCGTGCAGACGGGGAAGGTGGGAAGAGACAGATGGGAAGTGGTCTCCTCGGGGGCTGTGAGGCCTGCCCTCGGGCGGCCTGTCTCGGGCAGTGGGCGACGTCCCGAGGCCAGTGTGCACGGGCAGGCGGTCCGGGGGGCAGTGAGCGTGTGGAGGGCCACTGGGGCTGCTGCCTGACCAGTTCAGTCCTCAGATGGGTCTGTGACAAAGGGCAGGGCCCCCTGGCCACGGCCTGTAGCCAGCCCCAGGCCTGAGCGCTGGGCTCGGGCCCCTGACTGCTCAGCCTACGGTGGGCGGTTGGCTGGTGCTACCACTGAGGTCTTGAGAAGGTGACAGGGGAGAGGGCACACCCTCCGCACCTTCGCCCTGATGGACCTGGTCGTGTTCAAGGCCAGGTGCCACCACTCTGAAGAGAGAAGACAGCCTCCTTTGCCCCAGGCCTTGACTCACAGTGTGTGCTCGGCTTGGAGCTGGGAGGGGAGCAGTGGCTGCATCGGGGACTGGGGGGTGGGCGGAGGCGACTGGGGGGGCGACGGCTGACTGGCGATGGGTGTGGAGGTGAGGACGGGCACGGAGGAGGCCACGGCAGAGGGGGAGCTGGGCGCGGCCCCGGGGGGCTCGCTGATGGGCCGATTGTAGAAGAAAAACGGGCACTGCTGGATGAAGAGCTCGATGATTGTCTGATAGGTCCGCGTGGCCGTGAGCGCGTCCATGGTGCTGAAGTCAGGCCTCATCAGTGTGGGCCAGAAGCAGATGGAGAGGTTCTCACTGGTCATGAGATTCACCTTGTTGTTGTGGCTGACTCTGCAGGGGACAGCAGACTCACGGTCAGAGCGCAGCGGGCCCAAGCTGAGGCTCTGTGCCCTGCCCCGCCTCACGTGTGTGCTCACGGTCACTGTCACCCTGCCTGCCCACCCACAGCCTCAGAACAGAAAAGGCCCAAGCACAGCTCTCCGGGCCTTTTCCTCTGCTCCAGGGTCCCACATGGTGAGGACCCTCGGGGTGACCATGAGGTCCTGGATCATGAGAGCCCCCTTGCACCGCACCTAAGCCTTGAGGGTGAACACACTGCTCCAGGACTCACATCCAGACCACCCAAGTGGGTGACAATGCTCTGGCTGTGCAGGGACAGGGAGTATGTGTCCCAAGACAGAGCTCCATAAAACACTCCTTTGCTCAGGTGAAAACACAGGCCTGCCCAGACACCAGATGTGCTCTGTGCTCAGAGACTCCAGACGCGGGCCGCAGCGGGTCTCTTGACCGCTGCTCCCGCACTCCCTGGGCTGGGGCTTGCTCTTCCCCTGGTGCACCTGTCTCGGTGCGGCGCTGTCACACACTGGGGAGAGAGGAACACTGGAGAGAGGACTTCAACATGCCTGGGGACACGCGGACCTCTCTCAGACAGAACCAGTGTGGGCACCTGAGCCAGATGTGTGCCCCCGTCACCAGGCTGAGGATGGAGCCGTGCCCAGCCCTGCTCTGCTCTGCTGCTAACCGGCCCTGCCTGGTGATTTCTGAGGGAGGGCAGACCAGGCTCTGCAGAGTACCTGTTCAGGTGAGAGATGACGTATTTGAAGACTTCGTGGTTTTCCTTTGGAAATTTCTTGAGTACCTCCTTGAGAGCATGCAACTTCTGCTCCCGGTCATTGATTTCTGAGGAAAGAGAAAACCAAAGACTTCTATGGCCACGGCTGCGGGTGTTTGGGGTTCAAAGCAGACGCTGGTCCCAGGCAGCCACAGGCACCAGAAAGCTCCACTGGGCCTTCTCTGAAGACAGACCAGGGCTTTTAAACAAGGCCAACCCCAGAGCCTGTGCCCAAGGTGGCGCACCTGGCAGGGGCCCGGGCTCAGGGTCAGGCCCACCTCTGGGTCCCAGGCCCCTGCTCAAGAGGAACACTCCGTGCCTGGAGCTTTCTGGCCTCCACCACCCGAGACTCAGCGATCCAAAGAGACTCCACCATAAAGAACACCATTCTCTGCTCATCCGGTTGCCCCTGGAGACTGGCATCTCAACACAGAAAGCCTGCTTGCTTCCTGACCAGACGGGCGAGCGCTGCTACCCACCCACGCCAACAGGCTGTCTAGGGAGGGGTCTGTCACAGAACCAGGCTCTGCCCTTTTCCCAGAGCTACGGGGACCCCTCGCACAGTCCATCACAGGGCCTGCACGCCCCCTCCCCCCACTGCTCACCGTGGAACCTAACGCACCAGGGCAGTGACAACAGGCTCACCCGAACGAGACGCTTAACCCACGCCAGGCCTGCTTCGGTTAGCCCTCACACGCCTGTGAGGCAGGGGCTGTTAGTGCCCCATTTCAAGGATGAGGAATCTGAGGCCCAGAGAGGTCGAGGAACTTGAGTGGGGACCACTGTGCTCCCGGATGCCCCTCCCCGAGTGGGTCTGGGCCATCTTCCCTGGGAGAGCCAGCTGGGACCAGTGAGACAAAAGGGTCCAGAGCCCTTCTGGGGTCAGCCGGCCAAGACTGTGTGGCTTGTTGAGTGTGGGCAGATACCCCGATGGCTGCTGTCTGGAACTGAGGGTCATGTCTAGGACTCCAGTGCTTAGAAACCCCACAGCGGGGCCATCCCCTGAAGAATGGCAGCTACCCCACGAGTGAGAGTTGTGGGCGTGGGTGGTTGGGGGTCCACTAAGAAATACGACAGTTTCTAGTTGGTGTGGGGGCACAGGCTCCTCTGTGATGGGAGAAAGCGTCGGACCCTCTCCCCACAAACAAGCTGTGTCCAAGTCTGCCTGAGTGTGGAGATTTGCGGACTCCCCAGACCCATGTGTTCTTTAGGAAGCCTGTGGCCTCCGAATTAGTAACCTCTGCAGTAGGTGACGTGCCCAGAGGGTCGCGTGGGGGGGAGTGCTTGAGGGGCCTGGCTTGAGCTAGATGGGAAGAACAGACAGAACGGAAACGGCAGGCCCAAAGGGTGGGGAGGTGCAGAGAGGGCTTGGCAGGAAGTTCAGAGCCCCCAAACCTCACCCACGTGGTCCTGAATACAATCCTGTCTCTGACACCAAGCAGCTGTGTGACCTTGGGGAAGTGAAACATCTGAGTGCCAGTCTCCTTGCCTGTAGAAGGGGCTGATGGCAATGCCCACCTCACTCAGTAAAGACACCCCCAGATGTGAAGGGCTCAGACAATAAGCTCCTGGAGGCCAGTCTGACTTTCGGAAAACCAGTGAAAGAGGAGGCTTCGAAGGTGGGCAGGGACAAGCTGTGGGGAGCTCTCGTTGGCAGGCCAGTGAGTACGAGACTGGGCAAATGTTCAGACCAGAGAGTGACTTGATAAACACATGTGTCTTGGTAACAGTTGCCTGTTAGAAAATGACTAAAACACGGAAACTAGTTATGTGGGGCCATTATCATCTTCATCTCTTTAAACCCAAGATTTATTTTAAGGGTTCAACCTCAAGGACACACTTTCTTTCTGGTCTTGAGTTTCAAAACCCTTTCCTGTTAAGTTTCAAGAAAAAGGTTACTTAAAGTAAGCTGCTCTAAGAGGATGAGTGAGCGCACGGAAGGAGATGAGAAGTGCGGTGTGTGCGTGGCTCAGGGTCTCGCTTAACAAAATCATCACGCCCTTCCGGATGCGGGCTCAGCGGCACAGGCCTCCCCCCAGTGCCCGCACGACACAAACACAGCTGTGTTTGTTTAATTAGGCACCTTCACCTAAGAGGCAGCCTCCACGCCCTCCTGGCTGGAGGCAGGAAGCGGGGCTGGCAAGGCCGCCGTCTGCACGGGACGCCCGCTCCTTCCTATACGTGGAGCAACACGAAGGGCTGCTTCCTCTGCTCTTCCTGGGGGGGGGGGGGGGACGACTCTGAGCGTGAGTCTGCTCTGACAGTAATTCACACACAGCTCCCAGGGAGGCCAGCCCCCTTCCTGACACAGCGAGGTGCCCGCCGAGGACCTCGGTGGCCACCCCCTGGTGCTCCCTCTGCCTTCCTCCCACTAGCTGCGAGGTACAGGTGCCCACAAGTGCTGAGGAGCGTCCAGTGTGTGGTGGGAGGAGAGAGCCCCTCAAGGAGAGCAATGGGAAGCCTCCCAGTGCAGACCTGGCTCTGCGTCTGCCACATAAAAATCAAGGGCCATCTTGCCAATGCCCTTCTGACTGACCTTGCTCATTGCTCACTTCCCTCAAGCAAGCAAAGCTCGCCAGTGCCAAGGGGCCTCCTCCAGGCTCCAACTGGAAGCCTCTTCACAGCAGTCCCAACACCAGCAAGAGCCTCAGGATATGCTGGGGTGTTGGTGGGCAGATTGCAGCCCCTTTCTGTGCAGCCCACACCCCCACCCAAGTGAGGGCGAGGCCGGGTCTGCCCTGAGAGGCAGTGTCAAGGGCACAAGGCTGGTGGTGGGGGGGTGGGGGGCCCAGGCCCTGCCACCCAGGCCAGCACGCCTGCTCTGGACCAGCTGCCTTCCACTGTGCTGTGGTGCCCTCCTCAACGCCAACAGTCCTCTTTGGAGAGGTGGTAGTTGCAGGGCTCGGGCCCCCTCGGCTAACACAGCATACTTTTGAAATTCGTGTCAGTCACCTGAGGTGGCAAGCCACCGAGGGAGAGGCCTTTCCAGGCTGGCTGCGCCCAGACAGTCTGGACAGAGACCGTGCAGTATAGAACGACGGAGACCACCAGAACTCAAGAGGAAGGAGGGGGACAGCTAGAGGCCACCGGGGACCTTAGAGCCTAGCTCGCCGCATCCCTCATGGTATAAACATAAACCAAGGTGCAAAGAAGTAAAAATACTGGTCCAAGTTCACAGAAATTGGTGCCCGATCTCAAACGCTGTCCTTGCCCTGGCCGTGCCACTCCGCTGCCACTTGGCACCCAGGCTGCCGACCGGGCTCTAGGAGTGGGCCTGCTGCTGCCCCACTCAGCGCTCAGAGGAACACCCCGAGGGCCTGCGACCACCTGGCTCACCTGCACTGCCTGAAGAGGACAACGCCCGGCTCAGGCCGCACCCAGTGGGGAGGTGTGCAGGCACGCTGTGTGCCAGCCCGGCCTCTGTTTCAGGTGGAAAAGAACTCCAGGGCCGAGGCCTCCCTCTGAAAGGTCCTGCGTGTCCGTCTCCCGGAGGCCCCCCCCCACAGTAACCCTCGGTGTCTCCCTGCCCACCAGACCGAGGCAGGGACGAGCCCGTGCCGGGAGGAGGGAAGCACCCCACACCCTTTAGCAGCTGCCTGCACAGATGAGAAGGGGCAGGATCCCAGGATGAGCAAGGTCACAGGCAGCACGGGAACAAGAGCCAGAGAGCAGCAAGGCTGGCCTGCCTGGTGACTGTGCCAGCCTGCCATTTAGCATCTGTGGCCCTGAGCGGTGTCATCTGTAAATGGGATGGGAAGATGGCAAACTGGCATCCTGAACCATTTTGGGTCATGCATCCCTCTGACAATCCGACGAAAGCTACTGGTCTTTAGAGACTAAAATGCACATGCGGACCCTATGTGCAGTTGTAGGGGTGGGAATAATGCCCTGGAGCCGAAGGTCCTTTGACTCAGAACCTCTGCACTGAGAAAGAGCCAGCTCCAGGGCCCCTTCTGGCAGAAAAGACATAGGACAGGGCTGTGGGGCATCGGGGAAACCGGGGGGATTCCAGATGGGTGGTGGTGAGGTCATATCACGGGAGGAGAAGGAGATGAGGTGGAGCAAGAACAACTGAAGGCTGAGGTGAGGCATGAGAACGAGATGAAATGAGGAATTCAAAGCTCTTTTCTCTGCCTCATGCCGCCTCTTCCATGAAGCCCTCTACCTATTTCCGCCTCACTGCATTTCCTGCCTTTCCAGCTCAGCTTCCTTCACTCTGGCAGACAGCTCAAACGTGAATCTGGGGAGGGCCGGGGCAACGTCTCAGCACTGAAGCTCAAGCCCCAGCTTGCCACGCCCTACTGGCATGCTGTTACTCATATCTTTCTTTCTTTTTGTGGCTGCCTCTCACACGCCTCTAACCAGGGACCTGCCCCGCAACCTAGGAATGTGCCCTGACTGGGAATCGAACCTTTCGGTCCATAGGCTGGTGCTCAATCCACTCAGCCACACCAGCCAGGGCTCTGTTATTCATTTCTGAATCTCTCACGCATCACCTTGAATGTGGTAGGAACAATAACTGGTGAGTAATCACACACACACACACACACACACACACACACACACACACACATCTCTATTTTGTGGGCACATTTTCAGCACATTCAATATTGTGAAATTATGGAGCTAACAAAACAATTTGATAGTGAGCTTGGTATCTGTTGTGATGGGATCTGAAACCATTTGCAAGCCCTGAACACACACAGACAACAGTTCTTAGGTATTAAGCGGTAAGAGCTGGTCAAGTTGATGTTGCCATGGAAACCCAGCCAGGCTGGGAACAGCTACTTTGGGGCTTGAGAATCTTTTTGTTCCATGCCGCTGAACACTAACTTGGGCACTGCCTGGTTGGTGTCCTGGGCTCAGTTAACCGCTTCCTGCATACACAGCCCCACTCCACTCAGCTTGCTTTGGCTGTGAGACGTGCCAGGTCAGCAGGGTACACGGCACCCCCCCCCCCACCAGGTTCAAGACACAGAGCTCCAGCTGACTGGCTAGCTTGGGGCGCAGGAAACACACAATAGGAACAGGAAGCAGAAAAATCTCCACCCTTTTCAGGCTGAGTAGCAGCAAGAAGCTCCATTCCTCAGCACTGGGAGTTACGGAAGCTGCTGTAGGAAGGGCAGCAGATTTCCTATCAATAAAACCTCCCTCTTCTGCCCCCACCGGCTCCAAAAACAAAAAGATGCTCTGCCAGCAATTCCCCCAAAGAAACAATGGGATTCTGTTGGGTGCCAGGACTCTCCAGGAGCCTCTAGATGGCGCCAGCTCAAGACAAATGCTGACAGGATTCCCCCAGTTCTCAGCACGCTGGGTACAGGCCCACACCTCCCGGTCCTAACTTCCTCCGAGCCCAGGTAGAGAGATAGACAGCTGGCTCCGGTTGAGATTTCCGATGCGTTTCACATCTGGGCCAGCCTGGAGTCTGCTGAAGGGCTGGCTGGGAGGACCTCTATCACGACAGTGGGGTCTGAGAAGCTGGCACCTGTCCCCACTCCCTAACTCACCAGGAGAAACCCCGACTCCTGTCCTGATAAGGCAGAAGGGAAAGAAGGCCAGGTGAGCCCATGACAGCTGCAAAACTCTGTGCTTCTGCCCCATTCCTGCTGGGCCTGGGCAGGATTAGGAGCCGTGAGCGGTTTTTACCCGCCAAGACTGAAGATAAAATTTGAGGGCAGCACCAGGCTGCAGAGACAAACACCACGGGGAGTGCAGACCATGGAAAGGGGCTGCAGGGGCCTGCACCCGGTAACAGTCGGCTCCTGATGGGCTCCCCCACAGCTCAGGGCTGGGCTTCCGTCAGCCACTCTATTCCCTGGAGTCACTAAGAGTCCCAGTGACCCAGGACTTAAAGCCCTGCCCCCAAATTTCTGCCCACACCATCGGCCTTGGGAGTAAACTGTGCTTGCTCCCTCTTTGCGGTTGGGCAGTGACAAGATGAGATGAACGTCCCGGGGTCTGAGGAACATGGCTCCCTCTCCTCCTCCCCATCCTCTTCGTCACTGGCAAAGAAACTGCCTTCTGCTGCAGAACGGCTGCTTCTGGGGGTTGTCATGTACCAGAAGTGCAGATTAAGAAGGCTGCCTTGGACTGAAAAAGGCTGAAAGTGCCACACGCGTGGGAAGCTCCGAGATTCAGGCCCCCCTGCAGCAGGGCACGGAGGCCGGGAAAGGCTGCCCAGCGGGAAGGCTCCCAACTGGGTGGACAGACGCCTCCTGGAGGAGGCAGGCCGGGGGACAGACAGCGGTTGGGAGGGCGGGACAGCACGCAAAGGTGGTCCTTAAAACCAGAGGTGTTACCTTGCTGCAGCCCCACGTGACTGTCTGGTTGGGGCCACTGGCAGTGTCCCGTTCCCCACAGAGGCTGGCCGCCTGGCCCCAGACTACACGTTGGCTTCCTCGTGGGAGTGAGGGGAGAAGAGGGACAAGCCAGGGGAGGGGAAGGGAAAGAACGTCCACCTCCCAACAGGCCTGCTGTAGCCCCATCCCCAGACTTCCCCTAACCTCACTCTGCAAACAGGAGTAGGGACGGTGACACAGGAAGCGAAGGCTCAGAGAGCGTCACACCATGCCCAAGCAAAGGAGCAGGGATTCGACCAGCTTGGCACCCAAAAAGGCTCTTAATTCACGGAGTTTGGGGGACTCTCAGAGAAGCACCTCTGGTCTACAAAGGCAGTGGCCTCATTTGCGAGTCCCTCTGGTGTCATCTTGTTAGGTCCCTTCCTCTATGTTCTTCAAATCAAAGCTCCGAGAGCCATAGTGCACACTCCCTGAGGGCAGGACCCATTCTTACGGGGCCGCAATCCCTCCCCCTCCCTCAATTCGCCCAACGCGGCCGGTTCAGGGTGCTGGCAGGGGTGCCCGAGCCAGGCTGAGTGGCTGGCACTCACTGTGCGCCTCCACCAGGTCAATCTGCATGTTGTACGGGACCAGGGGGTCGGGCAGCTCCGAGAAGAAGCTCTTCATGGCACCAGCCACGGTGTTCACTGTGAAGTCTTTCTCCGCCAAATCCAGGTTGTGGTCTGAAAGGAAATCAGAAGAGTGAGGGCGGGCGGTCTACGCTGGGCAGAAGCAAAAGGAAAACAGTGCCGGGGGAAGTCAGAGAAGCCTCGAGGACCCTGGGTGCTGCGAAAGAAAGGTTCTCAGATTTGCAGACAGAGGCCGACAGCAAACGCCCCCTCCCAAGGTTGTCCCCCGAGTAGAAGAACCACGCCTGCTCCTTCTGTGCCACCAGGTAGCTCCCTGGGTCTCCTGGGATGCGCTGCTCCCCTTTCCTGACACCATGCCCCCCAGAGAAGGAAAGAGAGGGTTTTCGCAAAAGGCCAAATGGTGGGTCACAGACACATCACCAACAATCCTGACCGCTGCCCCAGCCCTGGTGCGTCACGGTGGTGACTCGGTTTCCCTGACTTCGGCCCCTCCCAGCTTATGATACCACTGCCCTCTGCCTCTAATTTCCCCTTTCAGACTTCACTGTATTCCTGATTTGTAAGCCATCACCTTCTGACAGTCGGCAGATGTTCCTACTTAGCCGAGTTACAGATTCTTGCATGCACAGTACAAGTGGGTACGCCAGTGCATGGCTGCACGCTCGTTTCGACCGTGTGCTTCCTACCCCAGTATTCACAGGTGTCTCGCTTCCCTCGTGTCACCTCCTCCCACTGCCGGCCGGCAGAGACCCACTGCGGTGCTGCAAAGTGCCACGGCCCCGGGGCTCCAGCAGGGCGCCTGCTCCCGGCCGCGTGCTGGCTGGCTGTTCTGTCGCACAGGCCTGCACGGGCTGCCTGGCTTCTGGGCCAGGCTCGGGCCCCGCTATGTATTGAATCAAATCCTACTTTGATCCTCAGCTTACCTTCCTCTCTGGCCAGGGACATCGGGGAACTTTGACTGCTTTGGCTCATTTGCTTCTGGCACCAGTGGGTAAGACCTCATGTCCCCCAGTGTGCTCAGTTCTAACAGGTGGGGTGTGGCCTCTCAGGGCTGCCCTAGCTAAGGAGACGGGAGTCACTACCAAGAGCGAGTCTAACTCTTGAGAGTTCAGGTCTGGAAGCCTGAATCCCAAGGTTCAATGCGTCCCCTTGCTCTCTTCTCTTGTGCGGGGACGTCGTGAGGGCACTCCCGGGGCCTGGCAAAACAGGACTGTCCTTTCCGCCCAACTGTCCTACCCTGTGCGTGTAGCCACCCTGCACGACCCAGCCCCGGGAAGCAAGGCCCTTCAGTAGCGAATGAGGCGTGTGCCGTGGTGACCCGGAACCGTGTCTGTGGGTGGTGACAGGCTGACAGGCCTGGCAGGGTGATGTTTTCATTCGCTGACAGCGCCCGTTCTGCCCTGCTCTGTGGCAGTGTGACCGTGGAAGCAAGGCTAACTGGGGCCAAATGCCTCCTCTTTTTCAGTCGCCGAGCCAGCACCTGTGGCTGTGAGGGGTGGAAGCACCCCAGAGCCACACTGCAGCTGTCACGGTCACCTGGATGGGTCCCAGCCTCTGGCGCCCAGCGGGCCACGGCCTTACCTTGGTCGAACTGCCTCTGCAGACTCTCCATCTCCGACTTGTTCCCGCTGACCCGGTAGATGCCTTCGGTGCTCAGTCCTGAGGGGCGACGAGCAGGCGTCAGGAGCAGGCGGTGGGGGCAGAGAACAAGAAGGACCGGACTCTAGTCATTAAATAGTCTTACTTCTTAACAACGTGATTTTAAAGACATCAAAGGATATTATAACTTTAAAAATAGTCCTATTGTTAATCAGTTAGGTTTTCCCAAGTTCTCACTGTTAGAAATAAGCCACAATTATGGTTTTTTTGGTAACTGGTAAGTGTAAAAGACTCTCGGCAGTGCGCACTTCTGACTCTGTGACTTTCCTAGTCACGAGCCCGTCCACCTTCCCGCAGAGAGGTTCTTCTCATTTGGTACTTGAAAGAGATCTTAGAATATTAAACAACCTGTGTTAATCTTATAAACATTTACATTTCCCCTTTTGTTATCTGTCTTCTACTTTTGCATATTTAATTTTCTGAAGTACATAATTCAAAAACTTTAGGTTTTCAAGACCAGTCATTTTCTTTATGATATCTTCCTTTGTTTTTATGCCTAAAACAAACTTTCCTATTCTTAAGTGAGATAGTTTCTATTTCTTCCTTCTTGCTTTTTTATACCTTAAAAAAAAACCAAAACCATTTAACTCTATGATTCTCTGGAACTTACTTGGGTGTACCACGTTAGGTAGAGGAAAAGCTAACACTAGAACTCAATTAAATAGTATAGAAGAACATAAAGAAGCAGTGACCGAGTGATGTCCTCCACCCATCAATCCCCACTCCTCGGCAGAGGAGTGGGTTTGAAGGCCGTCCCCCGACTCCATCGTCCCCTCTCAGGAAAGGAAGGTCCACCGTTGCCCCCCCAGGTCACAGTCTAAAGGACAATTAAGTTGCTGTGAAAACTGAGATGGGATCTCATGGCCAAACCAACCCCTGCGCCTTCTGAAGACTGGTTCCGAGCAGCTCTGGCTGACGGGCCGGGGAAGTGCCCGGAGCTCCCACTCAACACCAGAAGGCAGCGTAGGCAGTGGTGAGAGGGGCAGAGCCTGCAGTCAATTAGGAGGCTCCTAAGAGCCAAGTTCTCAACGTCAGTTATCAGCGTAATTGCTGCCTCTGGAGAGGCAGCCATCAGGCGAGATAAAAGCAGTCAGCCTGCCTGTTTTCTGGGACCCCAGATTAGTGGCAGGTGAACTTTGAAAAACATTGAAGCAAAAGTCATCAATTCCCTGACTTAAAAGCTGTTAATTGCACACAGGCCTTTCACCCCAGAGAAAAGGGGGTTAATGGATGGGTCCCAAGGACCCCTTACCCTGCGACGTCTAGCTTACAGAGGAGCTGCCATCAGTGCTCTTGGTGAGAGGAGTGTGGACACATTCCAAACCAGAGGCCTCGAAGGCCCCTCGGCTCAGTGGTGACCCTTCCCACTGCCCTCCCCTTTGGAGTTCATGTCTCCTCAGTGGTCACTGCATTGTGCACCAAGCAAAGGAAGGTGCTTTCCTGCATCCATCCACCATGAGTTCCTTTATTATAGAACAGTGGGGTCATTGAACCCCTAGTCCCCAATGGCAGGAGCTACGAGATGAAATACAAACAAGAAAAGTGAGGTTCAGAAAGGCACAGCCCTTGGCTCAAGTCAAACAGCAAGTAAGAGGTGAGGTGTCTAAGCCAGGGCTTTCCCGCCCTTTGTCTCCGCACGGTCCTGGGAGTCCCTTGACACTGATGCCCCAGGCGGAGGTCCAGACCAGTCCTTCCTCCCTGAAACACGGCACTCGAGTGTGGCCCGCTGGCCCGCTGCATTTCGGGGAGCGGCTAAGATGGAACACCCCCCCACTGCTGTCTGGGCCTTGTGCGCCATCCCTAGGCAGTAATTTCACAACGGTCTCTTCTCAGTGACTTCTCTAAACTGTCAGATGTATTTAAACTTCCTACCTATTTCACACCTCAAGCGACACGTGTCACAGGCTCCGCACATAGGATCATCCAAATCTGGGCAAGCCCTGGGTGAGAAGGTCAGTGGCTCAAGTCTTCACCCCTGGGCTGAAAAAAGAACCACTTTCTAAATACTCCTCCCACGGTGATCAGCCCCCTCGAATATAAAGACAACGGCACAAGCGGCAGGAGCTTCCCAAGTCCCTGACGAGGAAGCACGGGCCACAGCTCCGAGCCCCACTGTGGAGGCGGCCTCGGGCCATCCCATGGTCTCTGGCAACCCTGACTCTCAGCTCTGACGGAGGAGTCCTCTGCACTGTCTCCCAGTGGTCACCTGTCCAGCATTACAGGGCAGAAAACAAAGTGCAAATTAGCTATCTGGAGATCACTGGAGGTGTGGGCCTGCTGAAACCTCACTAGGTCCATGATCACAGAAAGGAAAGCATTTGAAAATGCAAGGCCAGCTCCTCAGTGTCAATGAATCGTCCGCTCAGTATTTCCTGTCACGTGCACACTTGTTTATTTTATGACATCCCATTTTCAAAAAGCAATCCCATGCTGCTCTACACAACACCCTGGTGTAATTCAGGAAAGGTATTATTTGCTTGGCCAGTACAACTTTTCACAACTACTAATTAGACATCAATTGAATAAAAACAAAGAGTGTAGAGCAGACTGTGAATGGCACGAACCTGCCAGTGAAACAGGGCCAGTGACACGGTGAGGACAGGCACGGGGACCGGGATGCCCGACAGCACGGGCAGCCGGCCCAAACCAGAGCAGGGAAGGGCTGGGGGCCTGCGCCCCACGGGCCCACACGGAAACACTCCAGGGGTGAAAGGCTCATGCCTGCCAGCAAAAGGCAGAGTCCTTACCGACAGTAACCCCCAACTCTAATGTCTATTCCACGGCCACAGCCCAGCTGGGAAAGCTGCAACCTTACACTCTGAGGCATCTCTCTACACTACAGAAATCACCAAAGACCCACTAATGAGCAGAGTTTTAGTAATAGGCCCTCTTCCACCCTTTTTCTAAAAACAACAACAAAACAACCCACTGGTTTTATGTTTAAGTTAGTCTTTGGGAATAGAACTACCAAAAGTTCAGGACGGCCAAGGTCACCATCTTCAACTATCTGAACTGTCACATAGAACAGTCTTGTTCCAAAGGCTCAAGAGAGCAGAGTTCCAACTGAGAATCGAAAGTGCAGGAAGGCAAACATTCTCTCAGTGTGTAAAATAACTGTGCACAGCTACAGCTGTCACCCCTTGGAACGGGCCAGAGCTTCTGAACTCCCCCTTCACCGGGTAGCCATCTGTCTAGAATGGTATTTGAAACGATTACTACCTGGTCTGGGAAGATAGTTAATAACAACAATAAACCATTTACTTGACTGCTCACTATGTGCGAGGCACATAATGCTAAGTGCTTACCATCCATTTTATATTAACTCTCGAGACAGCCCCAGAGAGGTTACTACTAATCCCATTTTAGAGACGGGAATGCAGAGGCTAAGGGGTGACGAACACACGTACGGTTAGAGAGCAAGAGAGCTGCAATTTGATCCTCATCCGATATTGCTGCCTGTGTTCATTTACTTTTATGTTTGAAATACTGGTTCTCAAAATCACACACGTGTCCAAATCACCTGGAGGTCTTGTTAGAATACAGGTTCCAGGGCTCCACCTGTAGAGTTTCTGATTCTCTGTGGAGTGGGCCCAAGAATCTGCATTTCACACATTCCAGGCGATGCTGATGAGGGTGGTCAGGGAGCTTCATGTTGAGACCTGTTGCTCTAGAAGACAGCCCGGCCCTCCAAGGCAGGGGTGTCAAACTCATTTTCACCAGGGGCCACATCAGCCTCATGGTTGCCTCAAAGGGCCGAATGTCATTCAACTCCTTATATGCTAAGGAGTAGTTACATTTATACAGACAGTCCTAAAATTTTGGGTTGCCTTCCCTTTGAAGATAACCGTGAGGGTGGTGTGGCCCCTGGGTGAAAATGACTTTGACACCCCTGCCCTAAGGTCGCTTTGACTCTTGAATTCTATTATTTAGTGAAACTGGGGGGGCAGGGGAGGCACAATACGCAAGGAAAAATAAATACCATGTATTTTAGGAACAAAACATTTCCAAAGAGCATTAAATCTGCTGCTTTTTCTATGTAAGCAAGCCCTTATGCATTACTGAAACTTTTCACCTGGGCCAGGCAGGACTTTCACGAAAATGTTAAAAAACAGTCAAGAGAAAAGCAAAGAGACCTTATTCTTCCTTTCAATATTTACTGAGCACCCACAGGGCAGAATGGCCTTTCCACAGCCGTTCAGGCGTGGTCCCCCTCAGAAGTATTCTGGTGACATAAGATGGCCCACAATGCCAGGCATGAGGTGTTCCCCGGGCTAAGAACGGGCACATTTTACCCCGAGTTTCCCGTCGGAGCGAATGCCGCTGACCCTGGCCCCTGGGAGATGCCTGTGGCACTTCCTTGGCAGAGCAGGGGCATTAGGAAAATGAATGGGTGACCAGCAGGAGTTTGGAACTCAAGGGGGAGAACCGCCCCCTTCCCTGGAATGTGTCTGGTTTTCTGAAATGTCCAAACACGCCTTTATTCCTGGATCTCAAGCTCCGTGTCTCAGCACCGGCGCTCCTGCCAGAAGCCTTTCCGCAGCCGGCCGGCCCAGGCCGTGCCTCCACCGGGTCCTACCAGGACTCCGTCCTCCTTGGTTTCCTTTCCAGTGCAAATCGATACTTCCTCCAAGACAAACTCTGGCCTGTTTATTTGTTTTTACTTTCTATATTTAGATATAAAAATTCAGCACTTTAATCCTTTAAAGAAACTTAATTGGGTATTGCCAGTGCTAAATAAAGTGCCCTACACCAGACAGGTCCGAACTACTAACCAACTTCTGTCAAAAGAAGTGCGTCTAATAAACTGTGCCCCTGCATGCCTCGGCGAGGTTACGGCTCAGGCAGGCCAGTTTTCAAGGCCAGAGGGGTGCTGAGAAGCCAGGGAGAGAAGGAAACTCCCTTGAGCATAAAAAAATCCAAACTGTCTTGGTGACAACTGACCTCCTGGGAACCCTACCGTAAAAAGCCCTCCTTTTGGGTCCAATGCCAGCTGGACACCT